CTCGTCGGGCTAAAGCTAGTACTGGGTCAGTGACAGTTTGTGACAAATTGCTAAACCTTTGTAAATCATAAATGTAAGGTTTGTTAGGTTGGCTGGCTCTTTTTGCTGGAATTTTGAAGTTTAAAACTTTTTACCTAAATTTCATCTCACAGTCGTCATCCAGGCTCTTCTGAAACCTATATCGGTCAGTGTTTTATGAGACAGCTTTAGGAGGGGTTGGTGACCAAGTGTTGAGTAATATTTGGGTAAATGTTAACAAACTGAGACATAATTAAGACAAATGAAGCAAAATTAAAACCCCAAGGTTCATTTAACTGAAGCTTGATGAAACTGAATAAAATTTCCCATTTGATAAACCAAATAAAAAAAGTCCACAAATGAACGACTATAACACATTTAAAAGTTAATTCTAGAATATAACCGTTTGTCACACATAACCTGTAACCTATTGTAACCTGTTGCTCCCGGCTTTTGCAGCAGATCAACCATGAAACGTTCACACAGCTGTTTAGAAACATTCAGATCGTTGAGCTTCAGAGAGCTGTCACTTCTGCTTCTCTCTGCCGTGGCTGTCAGCATTCTGTAGCTAACTAAAACGCGCTACCGTTTAGCAGCACTGATCAGCTGTGACTAAAGCACATGTGTCAGACACAAGGCGTTTATGTGGTCCACGAGATAAATATCAAAAATATATTAAAACTGACCCGCTGGTCGATTTTACCCAAAAGACTACAACTCCCATGATGCTTTGCTACGTTAGCGCAGAGCCGAAGCACCCCCTCCTTTGTGTTTTTTCCAGCGCCTGCTGCCGGTGTCTGCAGCTCCGCTGTCTTGGACAAACTAAACACTCCTCTCACTCAGCGCCGAGTTCACTCAGCTATTTGCCGACATTGAAGCCCAGAAACGGAGATTTTAACCGCTCAGTAATGTGTTCACGACTGATAGAGGAAGTTTTCCAACTAACATCCAGATAGAGCCGATATAACTCCAGCGAGCAGCGACACGCTCAAACCAGCACGACTCTGTGGTTGTGTTTCCTCCCCGACACACAACAACGTGGTCAAGCTGCTCAGACATGTTCAGCAGCACAAACCTATGTGAGCACCTGTTGTCATCTAATGTTGTCATTATTATGATGAAGATGAACAAAACAACAGGAGTCTCCTCCTCAGCTCAGATCAACCCCATGATGCAGGTATCTGGCTGGAACAGGTGAGCATCACAGTAAACCAGTGGAGCAAACTGAGCTTTAAATATGTTGGTTTGATGCTCTTTTTCTGCTCCAAAACATGAAAGTTAACAGGTGAGATGTTGCATTTTCATTTAAGATAAAATTATATTTTATTTTGTTGTTGGCCCGTGAGAAAAGATTTAACCTACAGTAAACAGGAAGTGGAAAGGCTGCAGATAGATGAATAGAATAGAAAATCCCTTTATTGTTCCTCAGTGGGGAAAGCTAGACGTCACAGCAGCGATGACACGTATTACAGGAGAAAAAAGGAGAATAAAAAATAAGAAAAATGAATAAACAAGAAAACATAAATCCTGAATAGATTTTAAATATACTGAATGTTCCACAAGTAATGAATACCACTGATGCCTTTTATTTAAAACTGACTTGCTCGTGTGTAATTTGGTTATTCCACATTCAGTGTTAATGCAGAAATAAGTTTGTTTCCTAATTTAAAGGTTCAAAATTGCATATATGTTGATAAAGAAAATGTGCAAATTTGCCGTCACTTTTTCAAAAAATATTAAGTTCGGCCCTCGACTCCGTCCCAGAGTTTCATTTCGGCCCCGTGTGAGTTTGAGTTTGACACCCCTGGTCTAAAGGGTTTGTCGGCTGTGCGTTACCTCAGCCAGTGGTTGTTTGTCACTGAATCCCTAACAGTTAAATCATAAACCCCACATCATGTGGCCTTTTCAAAACCGCTCACAGAAGTGTTTTATGTAACAATTCAGCGCGACTCTGAATGGTCATTTTTGTCTTGCAAATTTGTCTCCAACTATCCGCCATCAGTTGCAGCCTTGTGAGATACTGGTTTTATCTCATGGTCCAGAAACAAGCAGCGGGAAAACATGGGTGCACATTTTTCTCAGAAGATTAGATCCTTTTGTCTTAACGGAGAAGAGACAGGGGCATCCGTGACAGTAGAGGAGGGGCGCTTGGTTTGTTTCATTACCGTGTGTCATCCGTGACGTCGAGGGAGTGGGTGGGGTGGATGCTTGGCCTGGCGGGGGGTCAAGCAAGGCCCTGCGGCCTGCCAGGTTTCCAAAGTGCTGGGGAAACTCTGGCACCTTCTAGAGTCCTAGAACCCCCCCAAGTCGCTTTTCAACACAATCAGTCATTCACCCACACACACACACACACACATTCACACTGGTGGTGATGAGCTTCATTGTAGCCACAGCTGCCCTGGGGAGCACTGACAGAAGCGAGGCTGTCGTGTACTGGTACCACCGGTCTGCCCCGACTACCACCAGCACACAAGGCGGGTTAAGTGTCTTGCCCAAGGACACAGCAACAGTTGTGACAGAATGATCAAACCTACAACCTTATGACTACGGGGCCACCACTTAACTCCTCTACCACCGTCCCCACAACTGGACTGAACTCACAGCTTTATACACTGAGATAAAGCCTTTAAATGTTGGGCTTTATTGCTTGTTTGCATTATGGTGTGCTGCTTTGAGACAGGATCAATGGAAAGTCGATGCAAAGATGCACCAAGGTGGAGAGACTTGGATTTACATAACCACACACTTTCCACTGCTGGTTTCTCTAGAAATATGTTGTAGCTATTTTAAACATGTGCACTTTCCCCAAATCTAATAACAGCTCCTATTTAGGCCAGTGAGATTCAAACAAATGTTCCAGTGCCATTTGACTCATTAATCCCACAAGTTCTCATTAAAATCATAAGAATAAAAAAACAAAGTGTTTGAAAAGAGCCGTGGGAATCTTTAGGAGGGCTAGAATCAGCTGCTGTCTCAACACTTCTGCTGTCAAACAGCGAATTATTCATGATCAAAGCTCACTTCATGCTGCTGACATGAACTCTTGAATTTAAAGCTGTAAACTGTTCTTCAGCATTTCTTATTACATAAATAAAAACCACATAAAGGATCGTGATCTAGCTATTTGATAGGTAATTTTAGATTTATCCCATATTACCTTAAAGGACGACACACCCGGAGAGAGAGAGTAAATCTTGATTATTTGTAATGTCCATGTGGGCGAATCAACATGTGAGAAGCTGGACTCAACCAACCAGCCCCCACTCTGCTCCAGCCTCAAAGCCTTCACCTCACCAGCTCTGTATACCCACATCATCTCCATCAGGAGACCAGAATGTTAGGTAATATTTAATCTGCATAACCCTGGAACCTGAAATAACACACATGACAACAAGGAAGACATTTTACCCTGAGTCCCTAAAACATGGAGAGTTAACGCAGAGAAACCTCCTCCGAGGCTTCCCCACGTCACTCCCGTGTGCTCCCAGCTCGTCAGGGGCTTTATTCACAAAGGATGGAGGAGAAGGCGGGCCTTCTCAGGTTACAGAGGTACAGTTTTCAGTTGGAAACCCACAATCAACATCCTTGCTCAACCTTTCATGAACAGCAACAGTTGGCAAACACAGAGATTCATGATGTGTTAATAACACAAAATGGGCATCTTTTAGGCCTCAAAAAGGCACAATTATAAAAATACCCAACACTATTCACTTAGACTGCATGTAGTTTAACTAAAATGACCATTTCTGTTTTATAATTGGCTTTTGTAGCTTTGCAGCTCCTCCTGCATGAACCAAGCACAGTGATGTTTGTGCTGGCGCCCGCCTGGTGGTTATTGATGTTGTCTTGTTGTGGCTTTGAACAGCAGGAGCTACGCTGCCTCGGAAGGCCGTTGCCTGCTTTCTGTGAGGAAATGCGTTCCTTTATTCCACCAGGCAAAAATGTCATTATCTCAGTAACTGAGGAAATACTGCCTCAGCAAGCTTTTCATCCTTTTTTCCCCTTTCTTCTTACTTTATGACCTGACAGTTCAGTAGCATTTCACAGTTCATCTTCCTTCTGTTCATGCCTTGATTCTGCGTCGGGACTCTGATTGCTCCTCCAGCTTCTGTTGCACCTGGATCTGACTGTGACGTTATTTTTTACATGGATACTTCGGGTTTTCTTCTCACCTTGTTTCTGTTAATTCTAAATTAAATTAAATGGGATAAAATCACGCTCAGCCATTGAAATGAGCTTTTACTTCCTCGTGCTCTGAAAGAGGACTTTTAAAGGCCCCTCAGGTGACTGATGGACACACACCAGAGGAGCTTTAGCGTACTCCACACGTGCCATCAGTAAATCACCTGCATCGTGGTCTTCTCCGTCACACACAAATGCCAGATTGCTGTGTGGAGGCAAGATTAGCTCAGCGTGGTCACATTATTACCCTCTGTGGTTTGCTTACACCAGAAGGGCGGAGGAGATGGAGGTGGTGATTGGCTAGCGTAGCCCCAGCTTTCATACAGAAACCTATCTACACGACCTGGTCAGGTCTTTAAGTCATTTTTGTCCTTTCTTCCCTTTGTCCGTAGGTGACCTTTAAATCAGATCTGTCCACGGCTGAAGTTCACGACGAAAACATCAAAGGACCTCTGAAGGTAAAGCAGCAGCTATGAAGGAAGCTGACGTATAAGAATTACGCCCCCCTGTGATGTTGGTTTTATTTATTTTTTGTGCACAAACTAAAAGTGGTAATTCCCTTTTGTCTAATGCACAAATTACATTTTAAGCTTCAGTTGCACCAAACTACCCCCCCCCCCCCCCCCCTTTTAATAGGAAAAGCACATTGGGCAATGAAGCATTCGATTTCTAATTGAATTTCTGTCCGTTTTTATTCTCGCAGTCACACCGTGTTTGTCCCAGTGCTTGATGACACACCATTAAACGTAATATTAACCAGCGTATTAATAACAGCCGTGTATCTGTCAAACAGGTGGGGGCCGTGGTGGAGGTGAAGAATCCAGACGGAGTTCACCAAGAGGCCACGATTAACAAGCTGACCGATGCTAGTATTTATACAGTTGGTAAGTGACCTCTTCCTCAGGCTAGCTCCTCCAGCTAGCTCCAGGATGAATTATTAACTAATTTAAACAAAGATATTTAAACTGGCCGTTAGCTTGTTTCACTTCAACCAAACAGGTTTTTTTTTATTATCCATAAGCTGGCTGCTGGTGTATTTCTGGCCGACATGTGGCACAGCAGGCAGAGTTTAGGCAAACATTAGGCAAGGCGAGACAGCTTTACTTATATAGCACATTTCAAACAGAGTCAATTCAATGTGCTTTCCAATTAGCAAGAATAGCAGGAAAAAATTAAATCAATGTGACAGCACACACAAATTAAATTTAGACTTAAAAATGAAAAATAAAAGATGAAGTAAAAGGGTGAGCAGTTACAGTGCAGAAGGTGCAGTATAAGAACAATTATTATTATTATTATTATTATTATTATTATTATTATTATTCAAGACTGATGAAAACATGAATGATTTAAATTTAGACTTAAAAATGAAAAATAAAAGATGAAGTAAAAGGGTGAGCAGTTACAGTGCAGAAGGTGCAGTATAAGAACAATTATTATTATTATTATTATTATTATTATTATTATTATTATTATTATTATTCAAGACTGATGAAAACATGAATGATTTAAATTTAGATTTAAAAATGAAAAATAAAAGATGAAATAAAAGGGTGAGCAGTTACAGTGCAGAAGGTGCAGTATAAGAACAATTATTATTATTATTATTATTCAAGACTGATGAAGACATGAATGATTTAAATTTAGATTTAAAAATGAAAAAGAAAAGAAGTAAAAGGGTGAGCAGTTACAGTGCAGAAGGTGCAGTATAAGAACAATTATTATTATTATTATTATTATTCAAGACTGATGAAAACATGAATGATTTAAATTTGGATTTAAGAAATACCAGAGTTGGGGCAGATTTGAGGTCATGAGGAAGCTGATTCCATCTGTGAGCAGCATAGTAGCTAAAAGCAGCTTCACCCTGTTTGGTTCTGACCGGGAGTTCTACCAGCTGACTGCTTCCTAAGGATCTCGGCGCCGGGTGTATATGCTGGAAGGAGATCTGTTTTTTGGCCCCATAGCATTGAGTGATTATAAACTAGTAGTAGTACTTGGATCGATTCTGTAGTTTACTGGCAACCAGTGTGGCGGTTTAAGAACAGGAGTGATGTGCTTGGTTCTCTTGGTTCTTGTTACGACTCTAGCAGCAGCCATCAGTAGCAATAAACCTCAATGTTCTGACCTGAGTCTCACAACAAGGGTGTTTTTAAATCCTTGTGCATGTTTAAGGGTTTTGTCTTTGTTACACACATCTATTTCTTTTAGTCAGTGCTGACCCAGGGTCAGTTCTGTACAACACCGACCCCGTGTTCACTAAGAGACGTCTTTTAACCCTCTGTTCTTACACAAGGGTATTCTATGCCTCGTCCCTCAGTGGTGACATTTTCACACCGAGCCCCCGTGAGAATCACTTCATCCTGCTTTTGTTGACAGGTTTCTATCAGCCACAAACACAAAGAGGAGAACGCGGTCGGAATAATAGTCATGTAAACAAAAGGGGAAGATGGCTCAGCATTGGATATGTTTCTGTTATAATGCCAACTTGGGTTATCTGTTTTAAAATGATCCATAACTCTGGTTTATCTAGAATTCCCTGGACTTGTGGGGAAAAGAAGTGACTTTTTGTTAACATCAGACAATTTTCAGAGGTTTTGCTTGACATAGATATTCAGTCTGCCTACTGCAACATTTCTGCTTCCTTTTTGTCACTGAAAAGCACCCAAGAGCTTGTTTCTGCCTTGAAAACACTCATCAGGCCACATTTTTATTCTTTTATTCCAGTGATGGAAAAACAAAGAAAAATCACTGTTATCTAGTGCCCCCCCGTCTTGTCACAGTGTTTTTTAATGATCTCAAATGGTATGAAAAGCAGGTTCATTTGTGCTTAACTGTGTTTTTGTGTGTGTGTTGATGGACTCTTGGCCTACATACAGCAGCCTAATTGTTTTTGTTTCTCATCTTGGCAGTTTTTGACGACGGAGATGAGAAGACCCTGAGGCGTTCCTCTCTCTGCCTGAAAGGAGCGCGGCACTTTGCAGAAAGCGAGGCAAGTCTTTTGCCGTCCTACGGTTTTATAACTGCCTCATTTTCTCAGCATTGTATGGCAACAAAGCTTTACATCAGTCTTCTCAAACGCACATAATAGCTGATCTTCTTGTCTTTAACAAGAAAATCTATTTCTAACCATATTGACATTGTGATAGCCCCCACTCGATGTGGTGAAGACCCAGCTGAGACTTGTTGTGGTTTGTTCATCCCGTAGACTCTGGACAGGCTCCCTCTCACCAACCCCGAGCACTTCGGCACACCCGTCATCGGAAAGAAAGGCAACCGTGGTCGACGGTCGAATCCAATGTGAGTATCATCCTCTGATCTCAAACATCCTGCTGGGTTCATTTCTAACCTAATAAACGCTCTATGCTGGTTCCGATTTACTGTCGCTGCTAACAGGGATGCTCCCTCCACCTATGCTGGCAGTATTTAAAGTGAAAGATTAGCTCTCATCCCACTCTCTTCACCCAGAGCCTGGGAGAGTCTGCTCTCTTCCTCTCTTTCTCCTGCTCCTTAATCATGGATGTGTGTGTGTGTGTGTGTGCGTGCGTACGTGCGTGCGTGCGTGCGTGTCTGCTGAATCCTTTTTTTTCCCCTCCTTTGACTCAGATGTTCCGGAGGGTGTTTTTTTAATTCTCTGGTGTGTGTTGCTCCTGGGAAACAGCTCAGTTCCATTTCGTCTAGTCTTCGCCCTTAAGCTAGCTGCTATTGGATGGGTGATCTCAGCATCAGCCAATCATGAAGAGCTTAAATGTACGCCCACCACTGGTGGATATATAAGTGGAGCAACTCCACTGTTCGCCTCCGCTATCTCTTCAAGCCAAGCTTAAGAGCTATCTTTAAAGAGCAATTATCGAAGAGCGATTATCCTACTCACCGACCATGTCCAGCAACGTCAGGACCTGCCCGGCCTGCCAGATGGGCTGCATCTCCAGCGGCAACCAACACGACAAATGTGGGGTCTGTCTCTGGGCTCATCACGCTGCCCTGGCCTTGACCTCCCAGGCCTCGTGCCCGTTTAGTGCCGCTCTGCCAATGGCTGAAAACATCCCCCGGGCTGAGTACTTCACCCCCGCCGAGGAATATCCAGGGGCTGACACGTACTCGCTGGACAAGGCCTTGCAGTTCTTCAGTGTCGGCCAGGAGCCGGCTGGCTCCAACCAACTGGACGATGACATCAACCTTGAGGAGTACGACGAGGCTGGCTGCCATAGTCCTTCTTCCCTCCTGGACAACACGGAGGTCGACGAGCCTCCCTCAGCGGATTCCTCTGCTCCAGTGCCTTCTCGCTCCTCCCTGCCAGCAGTTAGATCACTGCTCCAGGAGCTACCTGCCATCATCTCTGCGGCTGCGGTCCGCAAGGGGCTAGCCGTGCCAGAGCTGGCTCCACCTGAAGCAGATGATTTGGCGGGAATTTTCGGGGCTACACAAACACGCTGTCCAGACCCCATCTGGCTGCGCTTCCCCGCTGCCTTGAGCTGCTGGTCCGCCGCCTTCTCTGAGCCTGTTAAGTTCAAAGAGCCAGTTTCCACATATGTGCCCATAACCAAAATCGAGGGCTTCTCCGACCAGGGCTGACCAACTGTTCCTCCACTGGAGCCGGACCTGGCCTCGCTGTTTGGCGCCAAGAACCACCTCACTGGCCAGCGAGCAGTTCCCGCTTCTAAGCATGACCATCTGCTGGCGCGGCTCACCGATCACACACACCAGTGCACCTTCTAGACCGGCGCTGCTGGAAATAACATCGCCCTTCTTGCCTTTGGCGTCTCCAAAATGGTAGAAGAGCTTGACGCTCCTGACGAGTCAAAAACCATCATTACCAAAATTGCTGATGCCATTCTCAATCTGTGCGCTGCTGTACTCACCAGTTCTGCTCGCATTGCTGCCTGGCAAACCCTTATCCAGCGGGCCTTGTGGCTCAAGGCCCTGCCCTCCATTCCCAAACACCTGCACAGAGAAATGCTGGAAGGCCCCATCACCTCTGACGTTCTGTTTGGTCCCCATCGAAAGGGCTCAGAAGACAGACGACATTCATGTCACAGGAACAATCTCAGGCCCTAGAGCTGGAGCTATGGGAAGTTTGTTCCAAGGACGCCGTTTCCCAAGTTCCTCGCGGGCAAGAGCACTCGGGCGTCTACTCCCGCTACTTCATAGTACCGAAGAAGTCGGGAGGAATGAGACCAATACTCGACCTTTCCCTGTTCAACTGCTCCATAGCAGTGATGCATTTCCGCATGTTAACAATGAGGCAAGTCATGGAGTACGTGCGCTCCGGGGAGTGGTTCACGTCGATAGACCTGAAAGACGCATACTTCCACATCCCAGTAATTCCCAAACACCGGAAGTTCCTGCACTTTTCATTCCAAGGGAGTTCAATACCAGTTCAGTCATCTCCCTTTCGGGTACTCGCTGGCCCCATGCACCTTCTCCAAATGTCTGGAGACAGCTCTGCAGCCACTGCGCACGGCAGGAATGAGGGTTTTATTTTATCGGGATGATCTGCTCCTATTCGCCCGTCCAAGGACGAGGCGTCAGGGCAAACCAGGAAGTTAATAGAGCATCTGTCAACCCTGGGGTTTTCCATAAACTGGGAAAAGAGCTCCATCCTTCCACCTCAGATTGTGTTTCTCGGGGTGGAGCTGAACGCCTCCCTAATGAGAGCACGTCTATCTCCGGCAAGAGCGGCATATCTCTCCACTGCGATCTCCCGCGTGCAACCCCGCAAGATCGTGAGAGCCCTGTTAGTCATGAAACTTCTGGGCATGATGGCTACAGCCCACGCTATGGTGCCGTTAGGTTTACTGCACACGGGATGACTGCAGCATTGGTTCATCTGCCTCCGGGTACACCCGATACATCAGAAGAGTCGTATGTTGAGGGTTCCCCCTTCAGTGGGCGGGGAGCTCGCTCACTGGGGGAATCCCTGCATCCTCTCACACGGGTCCCCATCGGACGTCCTATGTCACACGTATCTGTGTTTACGGATGTGTCACTGTTGGGATGGGGGGCACGTGCTTGTCCCATACTGTGGCAGATCGCTGGCCCTCTCACACGAACGAGCACATAAATGTCTTGGACCTGATGACAGTGAGGAATGTGATCAGACACTTTGCTGCCCTTCTCGAAGGCCGTCATGTCGAAGTTCACACAGACAACCAGGTGGCGGCAGCCTACATAGATCGCCAAGGGGGAGTTCGATCCCTCCCACTATTGCGCGTAGCGACAGATTTAATGTGTTGGGCACATGTCCACCTGCTGTCCATCAAAGCCACGTACTTTCTGGGCGTCCTGAATGTGGCAGCAGACATCCTGTCGAGAGGGGGACCCCCGCAGCTCCGACTGGCGTCTGCATCCCACACTAATATCACAGATCTGGATCAAGTTCGGGGAACCATCTGTGGATCTGTTCGCGGCTCGTGAAATGCACAGTGTCGCCCGTGGTTTTCTCTGAGCCCACGGGACCACCCCCCGCTCGGAGCAGACGTCTTCTCACACCAGCCCTGGTCTCAGACGCTCCTGGATGCGTTTCCGCCATCGACATATAAATATTGGACAATGGGTTTCCATAGGCTCCAATAACACGGTTTTGAAGCTAAATGGGAGGTGGCCACCACCGCCATTTTGACCGTGTCACAGGTTCCGTCAAGCCCAGACAATTCCACAAAAGGGAAGAGAGGTGGAGCTGAGGGTGGGGCTGTAAGGCTGGAATAAACTGACGACACCCGGTCGAACTAGCTACAAGCTAACCCAAAGCTAACGCGGAGGTGAGAGCTAAGCTAACGGAGGTAGCAACCTAGCTACAACCGGAGTTAACTGTGCACAACACCAGAGCTTCTGAGTCAGAGATACGCCGGGCTGACCACTGGGTAAAACCGGGTGGAACACAGATGTCTCCTGAGAGCTCCACAAGCCGGCAGACGCACAGCAAACAAGTGCCGATGCGATCTGAGATACGCAGAGCTGCCGCTGGGGAGAACTGGGTGGAAAACATTGGTTTCCATCCAGAGCTCCACAAGCCGGCAGCCCGTGCAGCAGACAGAAGCCGCGATCAGACAGATGCGCCGAGCTGTGGGGAGGGGAGAACCGGGTGGAAAACAGAGGTCTCCCGAGAGCTCCACAAGCCGATAGTCGGAACCCAGCCCCACCAACATGTTATATTTCAACCCATTTTCTAAAGTGCAGCATTATGTTAAATGCACTAGGTTTTACCCTAAGCTCACACTGTTTACAGTGGGGATGTGGAGCTGCTGACGTCAACTGGGACTATAGTCGGACGGTGGAAGGAATACTTTGAGGAGCTCCTCAATCCCACCTATGCGCATTCTGAGGAGGAACCAAAGCCAGGAGACCTGGGGATGGACTGTCCAATCTCGGGGGCAGAAGTTGCTGAGGTAGTTAAACAACTACACAGCGGCGGAGCACTGGGGCGGATGAGATTTGTCCTGGGTATCTCAAGGTTATGGATGTTGTAGGGCGGTCGTGGTTGACATGCCTCTACAACATTGCGTGGTCATCGGGGGCAGTTCCTGTAGAGTGGCAGACCGGGGTGGTGGTCCCCATCTTTAAGAAGGGTGACCTGACGGTGTGTTCCAACTATAGGGGGATCACACTCCTCAGCCTCCCTGGAAAGGTCTACTCCAAGGTACTGGAGAGGAGGGTCTGATCGATAGTCGAATCTCAGATTGAGGAGGAGCAATGTGGTTTTTGTCCTGGCCGTGGAACTGTGGACCAGCTCTATACCCTTGCAAGGGTGATGGAGGGGGCATGGGAGTTTGCCCAACCAATCCACATGCGTTTTGTGGATTTGGAAAAGGCTTATGACCGTGTCCCCAGGGGCACCCTGTGGGGGACGCTCCAGGAGTATGGGGTGGGTGGCTTTCTGTTAAGGGCCATTCAGTCCCTTTACCAGAGGAGCGTGAATTTGGTCCGCATAGCCGGTAAGTTGGACCTGTTCCCGGTGAGGGTTGGACTCCGCCAGGGCTGCCCTTTGTCAGCGGTTCTGTTCATTACCTTTATGGACAGAATTTCTAGGCGCAGCCATGGTGTGGAGTGTGTCGAGTTTGGTGGCAGGAGAATCTTGTCTCTGCTTTTTGTGGATGATGTGGTCCTCCTAGCTTCATCCAGCTCTGACCTTCAGCTCTTGCTGGGTAGGTTCGCGGCCGAGTGTGAAGCAGCTGGGATGAGGATCAGCACCTTCAAATCTGAGACCATGGTTCTCGACCAGAAAAGGGCAGCTTGCCAACTCCGGGTTGAGAGAGAGGTCCTACCTCAAGTGGAGGAGTTTAAGTATCTCAGGGTCTTGT